AGTGATTCAAATATTGGTTGTTAGACAAACTGCAAAGGTGGTACAACGAACTTTTGGGACGCAGAGTGCCACTACAGTACTGTTTATGTTTATGTTTATGCATTTGGCAGACGCTTTTATCCAAAGCGACTTACAGAGTAGACCCAATATTCCATTTCTCATCACTATGACAATAAGCTAAACCCTGATCAGACCCTGACCCAGATCCTGCCGCACAGGCCCAGTTTACCAGGAACAACCCATCCATCCGTTTTCTACCGCTACTTTATCTTGTTTATGGCCAATCAATGCTAACTGCTATGGCCAATTCAGACTAGTTAACCTGACAGGCTTGTTTTTGACTCGGCTAAAAGACATCAGTGGCAGCCAAATAATGTCAATCAGCAGGCCCGAGTAACCTGATGTCTATCAAACAAACATATCCACATAGAGAAAATCCTTTGAAATCAAAAATATTCAGATTTAGCCAAACTGAGCAGAAGTAGCCTGCCGACAAAGGTCCAGCCCACCGATCGTGTCAAATATGTTTGTTTTTTTAGGTTATTCTCTAAATCCGTGTATCTCTCTAAGTGTTAGAAAAAAACAGTGGGGATAGTAGTCTTCATTTTTTTCATTTGTTTTGGTTTTAAAGGGTAAATACTGTGTCTGTGAGCTCTTAGTTTGACTATGTACACCATTAAATGGTGCTGGCCAAATATAATAAATTGTAATATTATATTGTAATATTGTAATTATATTTGGCCCGCAAGACAATACCAAATGACTCTGAGAGCTGGCCCCTGGTATTCTACTGTACAGACCATTAACGGCTCGTACTACAACTCCCATAATGCCCTGCTGCTGTTCAGGACCCAGAAACTCCTCTGTGACAGTAACTACACACTACAGCTGTCACTGTGCTGCTGCCCACAAATGACCCAAAGAAAGAAACAGGATCTCTCTGGACAAGCTCATTTCATTTAGATATTTAAATCAGAAGGCTGCGAATAGAAAAATGTTTTAAATTTGTATTTCATAAATGAATGCCATTTATGTGTTTTATATTTGAAATTTGATTTTGCATGTCTCCACCATTAAGTTATACATAATGTAATAAGAGTTGTTTGTTCCATATTCAATGTTAAAGCAAAATTAGTTTTGTTCCATATTAAAAGGTTCATTTGTTCAACTTTGGCCCACCGAGTTTGTTCAGGTTTTACATTTTGGCCCGCTGTGTTTTTGAGTTTGACACCCCTGCTAAATGATCAAACCCCATCTTTTTCCCCAGGTGCTGCTCTCCCTGCGCCTCCTGCTGATGATGAAACCTCAGGTCCTGTCCCGGGTCAGCAGGGAGGTGGCCTACGGCCTCCACGAGCTGCTGAAGACCAACGCGGCTAACATCCACTGCACAGAGCACTGGTACACGCTCTTCTCCCTGCTGGAGTGCATCGGGGCCGGGGTCAAGCCTCCAGCTTCTTTTCAACTGTCCTCCACCACTTCTGACAACGACACAGGTCC